TTCAAGCATAAAAATTCTCTCCAAAAAACAATAGTCGTTTTTGATTGAAAAAATTCATAAATAACATAAAACGATAATGTTTCAAAATAAAATGAATAATGTGCCAACTATTATTATTATTATTATTATTATTAATTTACTCTAAAGTTCTAAGTGTCTATAATAAAAAATGTATATCAACCAGAATATAAAAATATTTTCTTTTCGATTTTTATCGATATTAATCGATTTCAAGCMCTGCTATTATCGATATTTGTATTATTATTTATATTATATTTTTATTTTTATTTTTATCTGCTAGAGGGCGCCACCGGTGTTTCTCATTTTTTATCTTTAAATCTCTAACTCACAGGAGTTATGTCCATAATTTATGCTATAAACCCGCTCCCGAAATTCTCTATCATTTAAAAAAAATTTGAGCCAAATCGGCCCAGCCGTTCTCAACTGATGCAATTTTGATTTTTTGTCTCCATTTTTATATATATATATAGATATATAAAACTGAAATCAATCAAAAGAGGAAATCTTTGTTACGGTTTAGCTTCGAAACTACTTATTGGATCGTCTTGCAATTTTTTTTTAAATTAAAGAGGACATCACAGAGAAGGTTTTGGGCATGAACAATTTGAGAAAGTTACCGGTTTAGAKGAATACGACGAGGTGATGATGAAATGACAGTGTCACCATCTGTCCAGCAAAACATGAGCATAAAAAAGAATATATAAATATTGTTTACAAAGAAGTATTATAACCTTTTCTAGAATCTTGTATTAAATTTTCAAATCTTAGATTTAAAAAGAAAATTTTTTATGAATTTCTAGCTTATAATAATTTGCGAATTTTCGTGATATTTACGTATGTTGTTAAAATTAAAATTAAAATGCTTGTAAAAAATAAATGTGACTATAYATTTCTTATATTTTTCAACTGCTATTGTAAAAATATTGTAGGAGCCTTGTATTAAATTTTCAAATCTTAGGTATAAAAGGAAAATTTTTTATGAATTTCTAGA